AATAAGTGAAATAATCTGTCTGTAAACAATTATTGGAAAAATTACTTGTGTCATGCACAAAGTAGATGTCCTAACCGACTTGCCAAATCTATTGTTTGTTAACAAGAAATTTGTGGAGTGGTTGAAAAACGAGTTTTAATGACTCCAACCTAAGTTTATGTAAACTTCCGACTTCAACTGTACATAATACAATAAATAATACAGTGAAAAATACTATAGAAAATATATAAAAATGACTGTCTCTTCACAGTCCCCATGGTGCCGTAAGGTGTTCTTTTATCTGGTTTTGGAGTCTGGTTTTATTGCTTGCTTGAGTTACCTTGGGTGGCAGAGAGTTCTATGTAGTCATGGCTCTATTAAATACTGTGCGTTTCCCAGCCTCTGTTCTGGACCTGGGGACTGTGAAGAAACCTCTGAATGCATGTCTTGTGTTGTACTGATGAGTGACCGAACTGTGTGCCATCTGCTTGAACAAACAGTTTGGTACCTTGCACAAGACCAATAGTGATGCAGTCAATCTCTCCTCAACTTTGAGCCAGGAGAGATTGACATGCATGTTCCTGACATTCACCCTCTGTGTACATCTAAGTGCAATATGTGCTACTCTGTTCTGGACCAACTGCAATTTGCCTGTCCCTCTTTGCCGCACATGACTACACAACTGGGCAGTAGTCCAGGTGCGACAAAACTAGGGCCTGTAGGACCTGTCTGGTTGACTGAGATGTCAAGCAAGCAGAGTAATGCCTTATCATGGACAGACCTCTTCCCATTTTAGCAACCATTGTCTATATGTTTTGAACATGAGTCTGTAATTCCTTAAATGGGATGCTCAGTAAAAAAATATATCACTGACCAGGTGAATCCAGGTGAAAGCTATGATCCCTTATTGATGTCCCATTTTAAATCCACGTCAGTCAGTGTAGATGAAGGGGAGGAGACAGGTTAAAGAAGGATTTTTAAGCCTTGAGACAATTGAGACATGGATTGTGTATGTATGCCATTCAGAGGTTGAATGGGCAAGACAAAAGATTTAAGTGCCTTTGAATGGGGTATGGTAGGAGTTGCCAGGCGCACCTTTTTGAGTGTGTCAACAACTGCAACGCTGCTGGGTTTTTCATGCTCAACAGTTTCCCGTGTGTGTCAAGAATGGTCCACCACCCAAAGGACATCCAGACAACATGACACAACTGTGGGAAGCATTGGAGTCGCCATGGGCCAGCATCCCTGTGGAAGGCTTTCGACACCTTGTATGCCCCGACGAATTGAGGCTGTTCTGAGGGCAAAAGGTGTTCCTAATGTTTTGTACACTCAGTGTATGTGCTGTTCAAACATTATTTACTGGTCATGACATTATTATCTCCAACGTGATCAATGGAGGTTCAGTGGCTCCCAGGGAAGAGGCCTGGGGGAGTTATATTTTCCCACTTGAAAAAAATATAGAAGAAATAACTGGTGACATTCATCGGATGTCAGAGCCCTTGGAGCCCTTTTTACTGTCTATTGTTTTGGCCTCTTTCACACCACGTGAATGGTAACCGTCTCCAAACTGTCTCCTCTGCAGAGGGAGGAAGAGCAATATTTGTTCAGCTCTGTGTTCATTATCAGGCGTAATGGCTGGATTTACAGACGCGCTGACCTCCCTGAGCGAGAACACAGCAGTCAGAAGGAGGGCTTCCTCTTTGCCGGCTCTTATTGCGGTGCTCTACTGCTTTATGACAACAGCTGGCCAGCGAGGTTTTGTAACACACAAAAGACTCACCCGTTCAGTAGAGAAATATAATAAATTCCCTTAAAATGCAAATTAAAGGGGGCGTGTTAAATATTTATCCCCGTGTCAGCAAATGCTCTGCCAACCGCGTGAGATCTTCTCTAAATTGGACATTGTTGTTTTTGCGTTTTGGTTTCGGAATTATTTGCATGAAAAAATGTGTTGGCTGTTGAGATGATAATCCGGAATCCCATTCCCAGTGACCTGCATGATAAAACGGTGACCCTGACAAAATGTATATGTTGTTGCAGTGCTAATGTTGGACAGGAATGAGGATTTGCAGTTCTAGCGGAGGGAGGTATCGTAGGGCTGCTTTTTTTCTGTTTGCAACAATTGACAACAAACGATGAAGCACAAGGGTAGGGGATCTCAAGGCAATGTGTGGTTCCTCAACAAATTGGCTTTGTCCTTGTCAATGAGATAGGAGAGAGAGAGCGAGAGAGAGAGACACACAGACAGACAAAAAAAAACATCCAATCTCACATTCAGCTGCAGCAGCCACAGCTCCTGTCTTCGAACACCATACTCTCCCGCTGTGTAACTTTTGGTCTAACACGAGGTGGTCAGGCTCAGTGAAAAGCACTCACAAAAATGTTATTTTTCCTCCTCCTCCCTAGTTTTTTTACTCCCCCACCTCCCTGAAACCCGTCTTAAAGCCCGGACTTGATGTGAAGCTTGAAGAAGCACTCTGTTCAGCCCTGTTCTCAGGCAAGAGGTTGGTTGGCCTTGTCTCCGGGCACAGAGGGTATTAGCTCCATGAAGAAGGAACATGGAAGTAATGAGTGGTGGGGGGAAACCATTAGTATGCCTGAGATGCTTTAACAGCAAGACTTTGGATCATGACACGTCGCAAGCAGTTCCTATCATCTGGACAGCTCCATCTGCACCTTTAATATTTCATCCCCAGTTCACAAGGAGTTCAGCGTTGCAGCACTCACTCGGCACACACTTGCTCAGGAAAAAGCTTTCTCCTCGGTCCCAGTGTGGCAGAGAAGATGCTTCTGCTTGGCTAGCGGTGATGATTCAGAGCAGAGAGAGAGAGGCCCAGTCCTAGTAGCTTGCAGGCTGCTGCTCTCACTAGGTAGCCCGGGCCCTGGGGAAGGCAGAGAAAGCGTGTCGGTGGGGGTGGTGAACATGTGCAGTGCTAGCTAGGTTCCTTTAAAGTACTGTTGTCCCCGTCCTCTGTCTCATTGGATCCATGTCACCACTCCAGGGTGTGTGAAAGGCATTTACAAGTCCTCGACTCATGCAAGCGAAGTGATAAAAATGATTTGTCTGATGGCGGCAGAAACAAAACGCTGCATCACTCTGAAAGTCCATGATATGAAGGAGCTGCTCCATTTATGTATTTATTTATTTTTTGCCCTCGCTTGTTATGCTCTGGTTATTTTTCTGTGACTCCGCTGGTTGATTAGGCGGGGGAGGGGGAGATATCGATCACCTAGCTACTCTTTTCATAGCAGAGTGCAGTAGAGCGCAAGGGGAGCGTGAATGAACAGCCAGACATGACATGTCCAGTACATTATGGAGCTCACAAAGCACCTCCATTTGTCTCATTCCTTCATATTGGTGTTTTTCATTCACTCTTGGCAGCATTCCGAAGATAAACTGAGACTATTGAAAAGCTTTGTTCATGTTCAGCTAAGTAAACTTGTTAAAATGAATATAGTTAAATCACCTCTTACCAGAATGTCCTCATTTTTAAAATCAAGATGTGGAAGGTTCCTATTAGTAGAACCAACATGTTTTGTTGTTGGTTGTTTGTTTGTTTCTATAATTAATTAGCAGACTTTTTCGACATTTGTCCAGGGTTCACACAGAGTGCTTGAAGTGCTTGAAGTACTTGAATTTGGAGCTCAGAAAATCAAGTAATGGAATACCTTGAAAATCAGACATTTCCTCTACTTTGTCCTTGAAATTATTGGAGCCGATTTATAAGCTCGGACTTCTCAATATAATTATCCACTAATTTTATTTCTGATCAGTTTTTGTGAGAGATAGACGCTTTCGTTTGTTTCCCGTCGTTTCAGTTGACATGGGTTGTGCTAGTCTGTTAATTTATTGCGGTAAAACCACGTGCGGTTATTATGAGGACGACAATGTTGGCTTCAACTTGGCTTTCCATACAAAGTGTTCCATTACAAAGGGAACGTTTTTTTTGGGGGGGGCGCTTTCTCGTTTGAAAAACATGATACAATACCCTTCAACATCTCAAATGGCGAGGGTGAGAATAATGCTACTGCTAGCCTTCATGGACAGGCTTAGGCTTTATCAGTGCGCTTGTGTCGCAAACATATCTACAAGTAGGCTATAAAAATCGCCATGCATGCAATCTATTTAGTCAGGCAATGTCCACATTATCCAGACATACTCAGAATGTAATAATAATTTGAATGCCAATGCATAGTGCCATTAGGAAGAACTATAAAATGCATGAGTCTTAAAGTGGTAATGCATACTTTTTTTGACACTTTTCGCATACCTTTTGGGGAGTTTTTTGCTATACTACAACAATTAAATATAAAATCGAGGTCCTTGAAAATTGCAATTTAGTGCTTGAAAAATTCCTTGAAAGTCCGTGAATTTGACTTGCCAATGTCTGTACGAACCTGTTTATCACATATACATTTCATATACAGTAGGTTATGCGTATGTGCGTGCTTTCGAGAGTCAGAGACCCAGTTCTGTCTCAGAATAGATAGTTTTAGGAGTCATTTGGAGCTGCTCCCTCTGTGTCTCTAAATCATGGTATTGGTTTATTTTTAAGGACCCAAATAAATGCCCTGAGATACAGCACACAGTATCCCCGTCTGAACTTGATATGCACCACTTGCTTTCTTAGGAATTCATGTGGTATTAAAACAAGGAAGTGAAAGTGATGGGAATCTCTCCCTGTCTATCTGTCTATTTTGCTGCACAGGAATTTGAGAAATATACTGCGTTCCATATAGCTTTTTATAGTTGCCAGACAGTAGTCGTGTTTTTTGGCTGGACTGTGATGGATTTTAATGCATGTTCATGCTCTTATTGATATAGAATGACACAACATTTGGCGCCAGTCTGCTTGTCTGAGTCTTGCAGGACGATAGATGTCTATTACATTAGGGCAGTGGATGAGAGAAGCTCGGAAGGCACTCCTATTTTAATAGTTATGGACAAATTAACAGTCTTTTCTCCTTCACCATGCCATTAATCTCCATCAATTAACAATGCCATTACTCTGTTTTGACAGCTCAATCTCATCTTCCTGGTCATCACCATGTACAAAATGGTGAAGCACTCCACTACTCTGAAACCAGACTCCAGCAGACTGGAGAACATCAAGTAAGTAGAGCTTCTGGGAAATCGCACATTTTCCCATATTCTTGGCAATAGACAGATATTTCCTCAAGCCCATAAAGACAATACTACTGTATGGCATAGTAAATTTTTTCAATGTACTGTAGAGGTAATGTTTTTGATAAGTCGAATTTGCTTCCTTGTCGGTAGCATTAATGTATCTGTATCTTGCCTCCCCTCTGGTACACATTGAAATTGTCCAGACAGAACATTTACCAGAGGAATTCCAATTGATCTCCAGAGAGATCAAATTTTACACAGAGGCTAGTGGTTTCGAGTGGGGCATTATGGCATGACCGTCCTGCAATGATGACAACATTTACTTTGTGAATGGTCTTTAGTCTTTGTTGTATCCCTCTGTGTCAGCGACCACAGGATTGTGTTGGCATGGCACACACCATTCGGAGGCTTCTGGCTCAAAGTATGCGCTGTTAGGGCTTCAGGGTGGGGTGAGTGGAAGCACTATCATGTGTTTCCCATGGAACAAAAACAATTTGAGTCCCAGAAAATGTGAGTCCCACAACCCTGGCGTTGCAAGCGCCATGCTCTACCAACTGAGCTTGAAATCAGTGAGTAAAATACAGGGGCTCCTGAAAGACATGGGCATTTTGGTTTGTTGGTTAGGGAGTGTTATTTTTGATGCCATGGCTTGGTTGCATAGACTAACCCTAACCAATTCACACCATGACATTATAACATCAACTCAGTTTCATCCCACTGTGTGTAGGAGCACTGATGCATTTATTTTGACCAATGTTTATTATTATTTATTTCCTTGATGACCATAGTTTACTATATGGAGCCACCATTAAGATATAGTGGTGAAACTACTCGCCGGAGTAGTGGTGAACATGTTTTTGGCCCAATTCCTACTATTCAACCAACTTTATTTTTGTGATCCTAGTAGTGCCAATAAACATCCAGTTCACCTCTACAATGTTTAATGCAATGCATTAGGTGGTTATGTGTTTTAAATGTGCACATTTGTTCCATTCATGTTGCAGTTTAATCACTTATCATTTAGTGGATATTGTCTTTTCGGTGTATAATGAAACTACACTGCATAAATGTTTGGGATATAAGTATTACTGTATTGTCTGTTGCCTTCTTGTGGTCTTATGTTGTCTGCACCAATCCTCAAGGACTTTGGTTTGTCAACCACATAGATGGGGGATGGAAATCAGCATAGCACCAGTGTCATTGCATGTTGCATGTCAAAGAGAAAGCTAATCTGCAGCGTCTCTCGTTTCTTTTCCTGTTGCGTTTCTTCTCTTCTCTCTGTCCTGTCTTCCACACCAGTAATTATCGTGTTTGTGACGGCTACTATAATACCGATTTGCCTGGGTAAGCTTTCACCATACATTTCCCCCAAATTGTCTTCATCGCAGAGCGGACATAGTAGCATAAACACAAATTGAACCGCACACAAGTGATTTGAACTGACCGGTTTACACATTTTGTAATTTCATCAACAGCCAAATACACACACACTCTCGCTTCTTGTTAGCCTCTTAATTTCATTCCATCGTAATTTTCCTATGATCAAAGGTGAAAATCTCTGCCTCAAAATGCCAACTAACCACGCTGTGATGCGTCTGATCTAATTTGTGTTTCTCTTTCCCGCTTATCATGCTCTCTAGCTATGAAGATAATAAACCATTTATCAAGTAAGGACATTAGCCCCAGAAGTCTGAATCTGTTCTTCAGCCTGTAGTTGATTTTCCTCACCAGTCTGCCTCTCTCTCTCTCTCTCTCTCTCTCTCTCTCTCTCTCTCTCGCTTTCTCTCTGTGGTCACTCCAAGGTGCTCCTCATTTTCTTTCCTTACTGTTCACATCCCCCATGTCTGTCCGTCCATCCGTCCGTCAGTCCGTCGCGTCTCTATCCAGTTTGCTGTTGTGTGTCTTGACCTCTGACCTGTGAAGGTGTTTGAAGGCTCCATAGGACCTTTAAACAACCGGCTGCAGGCTTTCCTCTATAGAAATAATAAATATATTATAGACTTGTTGAAAGGATTTCAGGCAACTGAAAGCCAAAACACAGGTAGTCATTTTTAACGAGTCTGATTTCCTGTTTCACCTCCCCCCCCCGATATGATACCTAAAGAACAGGATCTGTAGTCAAGCTTGAGTGTCCCATAAACATTGTGTGAATGTTGTCTGAGTTTTTGGTCTCCTTGGCTGAATCTACCGGTGTAGATTTCCAGCTTGTCCACCTGTCATGGTTTAGCTAGCACAGACTGATCATTATTCCAAGGGAACACAATATCTCCCTCACACTGGATTTCCCTTTTGTTTTTGTTTGTTGATTTGTTTGTTCAGATCCTGGGTCCTGGGGGCGTTTGCACTGCTTTGCCTGATGGGACTCGCGTGGTCGTTCGGCTTGTTCTTTATCAACGAGTCCTCTGTGGTGATGGCCTACCTCTTCACAATATTCAACACCTTCCAAGGAATGTTCATCTTAATTTTCCACTGCATTCTCCAGAAAAAAGTAGGTTTGCTTCCTTATACGTTTGCACTATAATTTTGCACAAACACTGTGATCATCTAGATGAGACTGAATCAATTGTCACTTTAAACAGTTTAGGAGAGAGTGGGGTAAATTGAGCCAAAGGGTTAGTTGAGTCACCCTTTGTTTCTAGGAGACCATACACAAAATTAATAATGTAACCAAATATTTAGGAAGAGGTCATAATTTCATGGAGTCTGTGAAGGAAGAAACCACATCGAAAAAGTGGTAAGTTAGGTCCGAAAAACTAATTTTCACCAAGTCAAATGAATTTACTGTGTTATAGGTTTCATGATTCTTCTATCTAAACCAAAGTATATTGTTTTGAGATTGTTTTGTACATCAGTTGGGGTCTCTATAAGCTACAATATGAGGTCCTAAACCTAGCATGAAAGTGCATCCTTGTAGCTGTGTGGGCTAATACAGTCAACATTTTGCCTTGGGGTAAGTTGAGCCAATGGCCACTATATCCAATACAAATTATGATTACATTTTGTCAGTTTTATCCACAATATGCATAGAATTTTTCTAATGTGTAACGCATACAGTACCAGTCAAAGGTTTGGACACACCTACTCATTCAAGGTTTTTTCTTTATTTTTACTATTTTCTACATTGTAGAATAATAGTGAAGACATCAAAACTATAAAATAACACATATGGAATCATGTAGTAACCAAAAAAGTGTTAAACAAATGAAAATATATTTTATATTTGAGATTCTTCAAAGTAGCCACCCTTTGCCTTGATGACAGCTTTGCACACTCTTAGCATTCTTTCAACCACCTTCATGAGGTAGTCACCTGGAATTACTTTCAATTAACAGGTGTGCCTTGTTAAAAGTTAATTTGTGGAATTTCTTTCCTTCTTAATGCGTTTGAGCCAATCAGTTGTGTTGTGACAAGGTAGGGGTGGTATACAGAAGATAGCCCTATATGATTAAAGACCAAGTCCATATTATTGCAAGAACAGCTCAAATAAGCAAAGAGAAAAGACAGTCCATCATTACTTTAAGACATGAAGGTCAGTCAATCCGGAAAATTGGCTCTCATGAGGACCGCCACAGGAAAGGAAGACCCAGAGTTACCTCTGCTGCAGAGGATACGTTCATTAGAGTTACCAGCCTCAAATAAATGTTTCACAGAGTTCAAGTAACAGACACATCTCAACTTCAACTGTTCAGAGGAGACTGCGTGAATCAGGCCTTCATGGTCGATTGGTGCAAAGAAGCCACTACTAAAGGACACCAATAAGAAGAAGAGACTTGCTTGGGCCAAGAAACACCAGCAATGGACATTAGACAGGTGGAAATCTGTACTTTGGTCTGATGAGTCCAAATTTGAGATGCAGAGTAGGTGAACAGGTGATCTCCGCATGTGTTGTTCCCACCGTGAAGCATGGAGGAGGAGGTGTAATAGTGTGGGGGTGCTTTGCTGGTGACACTGTCTGTGATTTATTTAGATTTCAAGGCACACTTAACCAGCATGGCTACCACAGCATTCTGCAGCGATACGCCATCCCATCTGGTTTGCGCTTAGTGGGACTATCGTTTGTTTTTCAACAGGACAATGACCCAAAACACACCTCCAGGCTGTGTAAGGGCTATTTGACCAAGAAGGAGAGTGATGGAGTGCTGCATCAGATGACCTGGCCTCCACAATCACCCAACCTCAAACCAATTGAGATGGTTTGGGATGAGTTGGACCGCAGAGAGAAGGAAAAGCAGCCAACAAGTGCTCAGCATATGTGGGAAATCCTTCAAGACTGTTGTAAAAGCATTCCTCATGAAGCTGGTTGAGAGAATGCCAAGAGTGTGCAAAGCTGTCATCAAGGCAAAGGGTGGCTACTTTGAAGAATCTAACATATAAAATATATTTTGATTTGTTTAACACTTTTTTTGTTACTACATGATTCCATATGTGCTATTTCATGGTTTTGATGACTTCACTATTATTCAACAATGTAGAAAATAGTAAAAATAAAGAAAAATCCTTGAATGAGTAGGTGAAAATTCTTGAATGAGTCCTAACTTTTGACTGGTACTGTATGAACTCAAGATTTTTGTTACAGAGCAGACATCATCATGCACAGTAAACAAGCAGGGGTCTAGCCCCCCTTGAGGTTCTTGAGAGAGCAGCCAAGGAAGTGAGAGAAGGGAAGAAGTCCATTTGAGCAGCAATAAGTGATGAAAAAATAGACTGAATGACACTGAAGAGGTACATTGACAAAAAAGACCTGTGTACCTGTGCGAAAGAGAGGCTATAATACAGTAGCAGAGGTGCACAACATCTTATCTGATGAAATGGAGTCTGAGCTTGCTAACCATATCAATAATCTTGCAGACCAGTTTTATGGGCTTAGTAGCCTCAAATGCAGAGAACTTGCCTACGAATTAGCACATCGAAACAACATCCATGTCCCAGACAACTGGTCAAGAAATGGAAGGGTAAGTAATGTTGAACAGAGAGATCTGTATCTGAATGTAGGCATACATTTAAGATATACAATTTACCAAACCCCCATTCCTTGAATTCAACTTTGACCTACCAGCACCATCACCCACTGTCACAGGACACCAGTCCCCACTTACCCCAAGGTGGATCAACTTACCCTGTTTCAATGCTCAACTTAACCCATACCCAGACCACTTTTTTTGAACAAGCTATGTTTTCAAAACTGTTATGGTTACATGAATTCTGGTTATTTCCAGGGATACACAACATCCTGAAATATATGTAGATATATTTGTTAGAAAGAATACTATATATTTCCCTTGACAGAGTGATGCTGAATGTAAAAAATGGCTCAACTTACCCCACTCTCCCCTAAACATATTTCATTGTAGTTTTGAGCATAATGAACCAACCTTTGTTCAACGACTCCTGTATTTGTATTCATTTGAGTTAATTTACAAATATTAAGGATAACATCCAATATAGGCTTAGCAAAGCCTCTGCTTTCAGGTTTGGCTCATGTTGTTCTCAAAAGCCTGGGGAAGTTCATAATGGAAAAGTATGAGTGGAGCATTGATTGCCAGCGGATGCTGGCTGATTGGCTGAGTAGATTTAGATTTTTTTAAACAACCACCCTTTCAATCCCTCTTCAGAAACACCAATTATCCAGAGTAAACTAATTTATGATCCAAGCATTGCTAGCATGTTATATTTTAGAAAATGGACATTTCAGAAATAATTTATAGTAAATATATTATATAATTTGGATGTAATGACAAAATCTATATATATATTTTTATAATAAATGGACACCTGTGAAAATGTTTCGCTGTTAGGTTTTGAATCTCTGCCTCTGTTTGAATGTGACTATTTCAATTGTTGGGAGGGGCAAATGACTTGGATACCATCCACCGTCTTTTAGCTGACAATAACTTCCTCAGGCTTTTGAATGGTACGGTATAGTCCAAGGGCTTTCAGTACTAGGCTTACAGTGCTTTCAGAAAATATTCATACCCCTTGAATTATTCCACATTTTGTTGTGTTACAGCCTGAATTCAAAATTGATTAAATACAGTGGGGGAAAAAAGTATTTAGTCAGCCACCAATTGTGCAAGTTCTCCCATTTAAAAAGATGAGAGAGGCCTGTAATTTTCATCATAGGTACACGTCAACTATGACAGACAAAATGAGAAATAAAATTCAAGAAAATCACATTGTAGGATTTTTAATGAATTTATTTGCAAATTATGGTGGAAAATAAGTATTTGGTCAATAACAAAAGTTTCTCAATACTTTGTTATATACCCTTTGTTGGCAATGACACAGGTCAAACGTTTTCTGTAAGTCTTCACAAGGTTTTCACACACTGTTGCTGGTATTTTGGCCCATTCCTCCATGCAGATCTCCTCTAGAGCAGTGATGTTTTGGGTCTGTCGCTCGGCAACACAGACTTTCCACTCCCTCCAAAGATTTTCTATGGGGTTGAGATCTGGAGACTGGCTAGGCCACTCCAGGACCTTGAAATGCTTCTTACGAAGCCACTCCTTCATTGCCCGGGCGGTGTGTTTGGGATCATTGTCATGCTGAAAGACCCAGCCACGTTTCATCTTCAATGCCCTTGCTGATGGAAGGAGGTTTTCACTCAAAATCTCACGATACATGGCCCCATTCATTCTTTCCTTTACACGGATAAGTCGTCCTGGTCCCTTTGCAGAAAAACAGCCCCAAAGCATGATGTTTCCACCCCCATGCTTCACAGTAGGTATGGTGTTCTTTGGATGCAACTCAGCATTCTTTGTCCTCCAAACACGACGAGTTGAGTTTTTACCAAAAAGTTCTATTTTGGTTTCATCTGACCATATGACATTCTCCCAATCCTCTTCTGGATCATCCAAATGCACTCTAGCAAACTTCAGACGGGCCTGGACATGTACTGGCTTAAGCAGGGGGACACTTCTGGCACTGCAGGATTTGAGTCCCTGGCAGCGTAGTGTGTTACTGATGGTAGGCTTTGTTACTTTGGTCCCAGCTCTCTGCAGGTCATTCACTAAGTCCCCCCGTTTGGTTCTGGGATTTTTGCTCACTGTTCTTGTGATCATTTTGACCCCACAGGGTGAGATCTTGCGTGGAGCCCCAGATCGAGGGAGATTATCAGTGGTCTTGTATGTCTTCCATTTCCTAATAATTGCTCCCACAGTTGATTTCTTCAAACCAAGCTGCTTACCTATTGCAGATTCAGTCTTCACAGCCTGGTGCAGGTCTACAATTTTGTTTCTGGTGTCCTTTGACAGCTCTTTGGTCTTGGCCATAGTGGAGTTTGGAGTGTGACTGTTTGAGGTTGTGGACAGGTGTCTTTTATACTGATAACAAGTTCAAACAGGTGCCATTAATACAGGTAACGAGTGGAGGACAGAGGAGCCTCTTAAAGAAGAAGTTACAGGTCTGTGAGAGCCAGAAATCTTGCTTGTTTGTAGGTGACCAAATACATATTTTCCACCATAATTTGCAAATAAATTCATTAAAAATCCTACAATGTGTTTTTCTGGAAAAGAAATTCTCAATTTGTCTGTCATAGTTGACGTGTACCTATGATGAAAATTACAGGCCTCTCTCATCTTTTTAAGTGGGAGAACTTGCACAATTGGTGGCTGACTAAATACTTTCCCCCCCCACTGTACCTCATAATGACAAAGTGAAAACATGTTTTTAGAAATGTTTGCAAAGTTTTCACACCCCTGAGTCAATGCATGTTAGAATCACCTTTGGCAGGTATTACAGCTGTGAGTCTTTCTGGGTAAGATCTAAGAGCTTTGCACACCTGGATTGTACAATATTTACACATTATTCTTAAACAAATTCTTCAAGCTCTGTCAAGTAGGTTTTTGATCATTGCTAGACAGCCATTTTCATGTCTTGTTACAGATTTTCAAACCAATGTAGCCCTTTCCTGCAGTCAAATGACCTAGTGGCCTCATGGGTGGAATGTTATTAATATTCTTCATAATTTCATAATTACTAAACATATATATTTTTTAAACGCAGAAAATCCTGTGTTTCTATTTCAAACAGTTTTGTTATATTTCAGTCTTCTGTGATGTATATAAAGTGTAATATTGGGATGCAAACTCAACATTGAATACATTTCAACTCTATATCTGATATTGTACAGGTGTCTTCTTTTTTTAAGCCCATAACCATGTGAGTGAGGTGTATACATTTGTTTCAAACTAGATTTGTTTAAGATTACCAAGAATCACTCGGTGTGACCATGATTTAGCCCACTGCAGTAAAAGGTTATGTCAAAACTGTAGCTAGGCTGCTCAGGAACATTCAATGTCATCTTGGTAAGCAATTCCAGTGTATATTTGGCCTTGTGTTATAGGTTATTGTTCTGCTGAAAGGTGAATTTGTCTCCCAGTGTCTGTTGGAAAGCAGGCTGAATCAGGTTTTCCTCTAGGATTTTTCCTATGCTTAGCACTATTCTGTTATATGTTATCCTGTAAAAACTCCCTAGTCCTTGACGATGACAAGCATACCCATAACATGATGCAGCAACCACCATGCTTGAAAATATGAAGAGTGGTACTCAGTGAAGTGTTGTGTTGGTTTTGCCCCAAACATAGCGCTTTGTATTCAGGACATAAAGTTAGTTTCTTTGCCACATTTCGTGTGGTTTTACTTTAGTGCTTTATTGCAAACAGGATGCATGTTTTGGAATATTTGTATTATGTACAGACTTCCTTCTTCTCACTCTGTGAATTAGGTTACTATTGTGGAGTAACTACAATGTTGTTGATTCATCTTCAGTTTTCTCCTACCACAGCCATTAAACGACCAATCAGCCTGTTACCAACCCTTAGTAAGCTTTTGGAAAAAAATTTGTTTGACCAGATACAATCCCTATTTACAGTAAACAAATTGACAACAGACTTTCAGCACACTTATAGGGAAGGACATTCAACAAGCACAGCACTTACACAAATGACTGATGATTGGCTGAGAGAAATTGATGATAAAGATATTGTGGGGGGGGTTTTGTTAGACTTCAGTGCGGCTTTTGACATTATCGATCATAGTCTGCTGCTGAAAAAACATATGTGTTATGGCTTTATACCCCCTGCTATATTGTGGATAAAGAGTTACCTGTCTACCATAACACAGATGGTTTTCTTTAATGGAAGCCTCTCCAACATAATCCAGGTAGAATCAGGAATTCCCCAGGGCAGGTGTTTAGGCCCCTTACTTTTGTATATCTTTACTAATGACATGCCACTGGCTTTGAGTAAAGCCAGTGTGTCTATGTATGCAGATGACTCAACACTATACACTTCAGCTACTACAGTGACTGAAATGACTGCAACACTTAACAAATAGCTGCAATTAATTTCAGAATGGGTAGCAAGGAATAAGTTAGTCCTAAATATTTCAAAAACTAAAAGCATTGTATTTGGGACAAATCATTCACTAAACCCTATACCTCAACTAAATCTTGTAATGAATAATGTGGAAATTAAGCAAGTTGAGGTGACTAATCTCTTGGAGTAACCCTGGATTGTAAACTGTCATGGTCAAAACATATTGATACAACAGTAGCTAAAATGGGGAGAAGTCTGTCCATAGTTCTACATCAGGTAACTGATACAAACAGTAGAATCAGATTTTTTTTAAACAGGTAAAAGTACACCTTATGGAACAGTGGGGACAGTGAAGAGACACACACAAAGGTACAGACACGCATACACACACAAGTGCTAGCACACACACTCTACACACACGTACACTACCGTTCAAAAGTTTGGGGTCACTTAGAAATGTCCTTGTTTTCGAAAGAAAAGCAGTATTTTGTACATTAAAATAACATCAAATTGATCAGAAATACAGTGTAGACATTGTTAATGTTGTAAATGGCTAATGTAGCTGGAAACGGCTGATTTTTTTAATGGAATATCTACATAGGCGTACAGAGGCCCATTATCAGCAACCATCAGTCCTGTGTTCCAATGGCATGTTGTGTTTGCTAATCCAAGTTTATCATTTTAAAAGGCAAATTGATCATTAGAAAACTATTTTGCAATTATGTTAGCACAGCTGAAAACTGTTGTGCTGATTAAAGAAGCAATAAAACTGGCCTTCTTGAGACTAGTTGAGTATCTGGAGCATCACCAATTGTGGGTTCGATTACAGGATCAAAATGGCCAGAAACAAAGAACTTTCTTCTGAAACTCGTCAGTCTATTCTTGTTTTGAGAATTGAAGGCTATTCCATGTGAGAAATTGCCAAGAAACTGAAGATCTCGTACAAAGCTGTGTACTACTCCCTACACAGAACAGCGCAAACTGTCTCTAACCGGAATAGAAAGAGGAGTGGGAGGCCCCGGTGCACAACTGAGCAAGAGGACAAATACATTAGTGTCTAGTTTGAGAAACAGACGCCTCACATGTCCTCAACGGTCAGTTTCATTAAATAGTACATTTTTACATTTTACATTTTAGTCATTTAGCAGACACTCTTATCCAGAGCGACTTACAGTTAGTGAGTGCATACATTTTTCATACTGTACCCGCAAAACACCAGTCTCAACGTCAACAGTGAAGAGGCGACTCCGGGATGCTGACCTTCTAGGCAGATTTGCAAAGAAAAAGCCATGTCTCAGACTGGCCAATAAAAAGAAAATATTAAGATGGGCAAAAGAACACAGACACTGGACAGAGGAAGATTGGGAAAAAAGTGTTATGGACAGACAAATCGAAGTTTGAGGTGTTCGGAACACAAAGAAGAATATTTGTGAGACGCATACCAAATGAAAACATGCTGGAGGACTGCTTGATGCCATCTGTCAAGCATGGTGGAGGCAATGTGATGGTCTGGGGGTGCTTTGGTGGTGGTAAAGTGGGAGATTTGTACAGGGTAAAAGGGATCTTGAAGAAGGAAGGCTATCACTCCATTTTGCAACGCCATGCCATACCCTGTGGACGGCGCTTGATTGGAGCCAATTTCTTCCTACAACAGGATAATGACCCAAAGCACAGCTCCAAACTATGCAAGAACTATTTAGAGAAGAAGCAGTCAGCTGGTATTCTGTCTATAATGGAGTGGCCAGCACAGTCACCGGATCTCAACACTATTGAGCTGTTGTGGGAGCAGCTTGACCGTATGGTAGATAAGAAGTGCCCATCAAGCCAATCCAACTTGTGGGAGGTGCTTCAGGATGTATGTTTTCATGGAAAACAAGGACATTTCTAAGTGACCCCAAATTGTTTAACGGTAGTGTACATTGTAATATTGTTGTATTATACATGTTGTATTGTAGATATGTATTGGTATAATAATGTAATATGATGTACTGATTTATCTTTTGTTTCATATTTTGTTTTATATGTAATGTAAGTGCCTCAATATGTTTGGACCCTAGTGACTGAGTGTATTGATACACCATTCCAAGCGTAATTAATAACTTCACCATGCTCAAAGGGATATTCAATGTCAGCTTTTTATTTTATTTTATTTTTTATCTACCAATAGGGACCCTTCTTTGCGAGGCATTGGAAAACCTCCCTGGTCTTTGTGGTTGAATCTGTGTTTGAAATTCACTGCTTGACTGAGGGACCTTACAGATAATTGTATGTGTGGGGTACAGACATGTGGTAGTCATTCAAAAATCATGTTAAGCACTATTATTGCACACAGAGTGATTCCATGCAACTTATTATGTGACTTTTTAATCAAATGTTTACTCCTGAACTTATTCAGGCTTGCCATAACAAAGGGGTTGAATACTTTTTGACTCAAGACATTTCAGCTTTCATTTTTTATTAATTTAAAAAACATAATTCCACTTTGACATTATGGGGTATTGTGTGTATGCCAGTGACACAAAATCTCAATTTAATCTATTTTCAATTTAGGCTGTAACACAACAAAATATGGAAAAAGTAAAAGGGTGTGAATACTTTCTGAAAGCACTGTAACTACACACAAAAGGTAGACACAAAATAAACATTGCCACTAACTTAGCGTCCCCTTCTATTTGCTTCCACAGGTCCGTAAAGAGTACATCAAATGTTTCCGCCACACATATTGCTGTGGTGGCTTACCAACGGAGAGCTCACACAGCTCAACAAAGACCTCTACCACAAGGACAAGTGCACGCTACTCCTCGGGCACACAGGTACTTTACCAGGGATTCTGACTGGGATTCATCTCAATGTCAGGGTAGATTGGCATAAACCCAGTTTACCGCAAAGTATCACCTATAATAGTCAACTAGGAGTCTCCAATGACTTCTGAATCCATTGAATCCATCAGACGCCCAATAATGTTATGTTTTTCAAGACCATTGGCCAATGTAAATGTACCAGAAACACAGACTGTAGTTAAACAGAGACATGTATACTTTAAAGTAAGCTAACTATTTCAAACAGCAGCTACTGTATTGCATGGGCACCTTTTTCCACTCTACCCCTTAGCACTCGCTTTATCTTTTTTTCTCACTAACGCCACTGCATGGAACTATTTGCGCTATTTGAGAGCATTGCAGTTTCTTTTACTCTTTGAAAAACAAGAATGCAAATACAATTTTATGTTTATTCCTTTGTTATTCAAGAGCACTATTGAACCACTTTTTAATAAATATTTTTGATAGTAGACAATGCTTTAACCACTGTCACGGTGGAAGTAGAAAGACATAACCGTCACAAGACATTCCCATTTTAACTTCTAATTAAACCTATGGAGCACCTCCCTATTACATCCACTACTTTTGACAGGAATTTAAGTATAAAAGTAGTCACTCGAAACCTGAGTTAATATAATGTGTGGAGGCCAGACGTTGCACTTAGTGCGCTTTGTGTGAAGAGTAGGTTCGCCGCTGCAGCAATACTACATATACAGTGAGGGAAAAAAGTATTTGATCCCCTGCTGATTTTGTACATTTGCCCACTGACAAAGAAATCATCAGTCTATAATTTTAATGGTAGGTTTATTTGAACAGTGAGAGACAGAATACCAACAACAAAATCCAGAAAAATGCATGTCAAAAATGGATTTGCATTTTAATGAGGGAAATAAGTATTTGACCCCCTCTCAATCAGAAAGATTTCTGGCTCCCAGGTGTCTTTTATACAGGTAACGAGCTGATATTAGGAGCACACTCTTAATGGGAGTGCTCCTAATCTCAGCTTGTTACCTGTATAAAAGACACCTGTCCACAGAAGCAATCAATCAATCAGATTCCAAACTCTCCACCATGGCCAAGACCAAAGAGCTCTCCAAGGATGTCAGGGACAAGATTGTAGACTTACACAAGGCTGGAATGGGCTACAAGACCATCGCCAAGCAGCTTGGTGAGAAGGTGACAACAGTTGGTGCAATTATTCGCAAATGGAAGAAACACAAAAGCACTGTCAATCTCCCTCGGCCTGGGGCTCCATGCAAGATCTCACCTTGTGGAGTTGCAATGATCATGAGAACGGTGAGGAATCAGCCCAGAACTACACGGGAGGATCTTGTCAATGATCTCATGGCAGCTGGGACCATAGTCACCAAGGAAACAATTGGTAACACACTACGCCGTGAAGGACTGAAATCCTGCAGCGCACGCAAGGTCCCCCTGCTCAAGAAAGCACATATACAGGGCCGTCTGAAGTTTGCCAATGAACATCTGAATGATTCAGAGGAGAACTGGGTGAAAGTGTTGTGGTCAGATGAGACCAAAATCGAGCTCTTTGGCATCAACTCAACTCGCTGTGTTTGGAGGAGGAGGAATGCTGCCTATGACCCCAAGAACACCATCCCCACCGTCAAACATGGAGGTGGAAACATTATGCTTTGGGGGTGTTTTTCTGCTTAGGGGACAGGACAACTTCACCGCATCAAAGGGACGATGGAAAATCTTGGGTGAGAACCTCCTTCCCTCAGCCAGGGCATTGAAAATGGGTTGTGGATGGGTATTCCAGCATGACAATGACCCAAAACACACAACCAAGGCAACAAAGGAGTGGCTCAAGAAGAAGCACATTAAGGTCCTGGAGTGGCCTAGCCAGTCTCCAGACCTTAATCCCATAGAAAATCTGTGGAGGGAGCTGAAGGTTCGAGTTGCCAAACGTCAGCCTCGAAACCTTAATGACTTGGAGAAGATCTGCAAAGAGGAGTGGAACAAAATTCCTCCTGAGATGTGTGCAAACCTGGTGGCCAACTACAAGAAACTTCTGACCTCTGTGATTGCCAATAAGGGTTTTGCCACCAAGTACTAAGTCATGTTTTGCAGAGGGGTCAAATACTTATTTCCCTCATTAAAATGCAAATCAATTGATGACATGCGTTTTTCAGGATTTTTTTGTTGTTATTCTGTCTCTCACTGTTCAAATAGACCTACCATTAAAATTATAGACTGATCATGTCTTTGTCAGTGGGCAAACGTACAAAATCAGCAGGGGATCAAATACTTTTTTCCCTCACTGTAGCAAACATAATGAAAGTTGATCTCAACAGTGAGTCCTAATAACTGTCCCTTGTTAATCTGACAGAGCCGTATCAGGAGAATGTGGAATGACACCGTAAGAAAGCAATCTGAGTCCTCCTTTATCTCAGGTGACATCAACAGCACCTCCACCCTTAACCAAGGTCAGTCACACACCTCATCTCGTCTTCACACACCATTCACCATCATGGAGACAAAAAATACATTTTCAAGTACCAATGATTTCATACAGAGGGGCTAACATCCTGGGAAATTGTAGTGAATGCTTTGGGCTTGATAAGACTTGCGCACTGGGCTAAAAGGGATAGCAAGGATAGTCTCCCTGTTCTGTTCTGCCAATTGAGGATTACAGAAATCTGTCCTCAAATACCTTGTGCTGTCATTTTGCGCAGTAATGTCGAACACGAAATGGGGAAGCCACTGTACTGTTTGTACTAAGTCCAAAGGTCATATTGCTTAGTCCATTAAAAAAAGAAGAAGAAGGAAATGCCAACAAACTCAAAATATTTTATTGTATTTTTTTTTTTACCTATGTTTGCTTGACACGCAGAGGCACATGATTTGGTTGGCATGTAAGGTGACCTCTGCTATTTCAGGGATTCAGGAGGGAGGAAAACAAACTTGTCATTTATTATTTAGCCAGTGCACAAATATGATGATGAGAAGATGATGTTCAACTCTGGGTGACCCTGAGTGCTTAGTGTGTTGTTCAGCCTTTACTGCTCGGCATGGCTCTAAAATGGCTTTCCAAGTATGCAAGGAAAGAGGTTACCCTGAGGTAGTCTGACTTCCCCCTTCCAATTCCCCCTTCTTCTTTCACTCTTCAATTTCCATGAGGTAAAATGTTACGAGCAGTAGTTTGAAATTCATTTTGTCAATATTGTTTTGTCCCGATAAGCTGTATATTAGATGTTAAGGTTGCATTTATCTATCATTCTCCAGTGTACTACCCTAGTTACCCTTGAGTATACTGTACTGAGGATGGCCTGCTCTTCAGAAACCACTCCTTGTCATTATAACATCCTCAGAGAATACCCTACAAGAGTGATGGGGTTTTATAGGACACAGCTTATAAAAATGTGACTGGAAATGTCCTAGTCTTTAAACATGATGCAAGAAATCCATGGTAACATTATAATCGGGTTGAATTTGAGTATTTGAAGAAAAGATCTGACATTGTAAAGTATCGGTATCCAGGTGAAGTTAGTGTTATGTTATTTTACAAAAGAGACAAGGGTGTGGTCATTTAGTGTGTACACGTTTACGCAATTGGATCATAGGAGTTCAACTAAAAACTGTGCCTTGGCAGTAGCAATAGACAAAAAAAAAGCATTGCACTGCAGAAAATACCTGATAATGCAGTTTTAAGAATTAATTTATATTCACAGTAATAGAAGGCAAAATGAGAGCACAGTTTTTTCACCAGTTACCTTTCTTGCCAAATAACAAAAATATGAAAAGGCTGACTTGATAATTTTGTTCTGTTGTTGCATTGCTTCTCATTTACATATCAGATTGGAGTAGAATTAGAATGAGGTGAACAAAAGTGCCTTTTGTGGTAGTCACTGTTTAGATGTTCTATTTCCCCTCTGTATCATAATCCTTGCTTCCACAAAATGCCTGTTCACTTTGCTCTAGTGACATCCAGCGATGGTCATAGATAATATTAATATCTTGTCCTCAATATTTTACCCCAAATGTAATATTTACTCTGAAAATAAAGGCCCAGTTTTAGATGTACTTGACATTTTGTTCCATAAATCACCCCAAAAAACACTCAATATACCAATGCCAAAAACTGATCTCTGATCTGTCTTCTTCTGTTTTACCGCCTCCAGGAATGACGGGCAATTATCTACTAACAAACCCTCTTCTTCGACCACAAGGCACTAACAACCCTTATAACACCTTACTGGCTGAAACAGTCGTATGTAACGCTCCCACGGCTCCAGTGTTTAACTCTCCAGGTGTGCTTACTTAACACTTCTTGACGTACAGTTAACTTCTTCTTCTCTCTTCATTTTTTATACTTTGACCTGGTTTTTTTTATGAGTTATTGTGGCCTTATCAAGATCAGAACGTTATTGAGTATCAACTTCCACTCTGGATCTCAGCAGGATCCCCAAATGGGTTACAGACATCGGTCGCTGAAATCGGTGTTGTAAGAAAGCACTGTGTGTATGACTTGGTTTGCGATTTATTACGAGACCTCTGGTGTCCAGTTTCACATTTTGGTCTTCTAAAGTTTCTCTTGAATGAGATAAAGTGATTAATCTAGGATGGAGATACTACATGTTCTGCCTTGAAAAGACAGTATAAACAATGTCATAGCCTTTAAACATACTCTTAAATTGCAGGATTATTGAGATTGATGATTGTTGATTTATTTATTTTGTGTGTTTTTTGCTTTCTCCTTACACTTTTTCCTTGAGATTTTTTTTAATGATTTTCTGCTATTTATTTATTTAGTGTTTTGGGGTGAACTTACCCCTTAAACTGTATACGTTACAACACAGACAAGCTGAAATATTCAGTTTGTGCTTGAATATTTGTGTATTCATGAATGTGACACACCATGATTTAGATCAACATTTGATTTTGATCAATGAAATGTTATTCACATATGATACAGTGAGGGGAAAAAAGTATTTGATCCCCTGCTGATTTTGTATGTTTGCCCACTGACAAAGAAATGATCAGTCTATAATTTTAGTGGTAGGTTTATTTGAGCAGTGAGAGACAGAATAACAACAAAAAAATCCTGAAAAACGCATGTCAAAAATGTTATAAATTGATTTTCATTTTAATGAGGGAAATAAGTATTTGACCCCCTCTCAATCAGAAAGATTTCTGGCTCACAGGTATCTTTTATACAGGTAACGAGCTGAGATTAGGAGCACACTCTTAAAGGGAGTGTTCCTAATCTCAACTTGTTAGCTGTATAAAAGATACCTGTCCACAGAAGCAATCAATCAATCAGATTCCAAACTCTCCACCATGGCCAAGACCAAAGAGCTCTCCAAGGATGTCAGGTACAAGATTGTAGACCTACACAAGGCTGGAATGGGCTACAAGACCATCGCCAAGCAGCTTGGTGAGAAGGTGACAACAGTTGGTGCGATTATTCGCAAATGGAAGAAACACAAAATAACTGTCAATCTCCCTCGGCCTGGGGCTCCATGCAATTCTCACCTCGTGGAGTTGCAATGATCATGAGAACGGTGGTGAATCAGCCCAAAACTACATGGGAGGATCTTGTCAATGATCTCAAGGCAGCTGGGACTACCATAGTCACCAAGAAAACAATTGGTAACACACTACGCCGTAAAGGACTGAAATCCTGCAGCGCACGCAAGGTCCCCCTGCTCAAGAAAGCACATATACAGGGCCGTCTGAAGTTTGCCAATGAACATCTGAATGATTCAGAGGAGAACAAGGTGAAAGTGTTGTGGTCAGATGAGACCAAAATTGAGCTCTTTGGCATCAACTCAATTCGCCGTGTTTGGAGGAGGAGGAATGCTGCCTATGACCCCAAGAACACCATCCCCACCATCAAACATGGAGGTGGAAAGATTATGCTTTGGGGGTGTTTTTCTGCTAAGGAGACAGGACAACTTCACAGCATCAAAGGGACGATGGACGGGGCCATGTACCGTCAAATCTTGGGTGAGAACCTCTTTCTCTCCGCCAGGGCATTGAAAATGGGTCGTGGATGGGTATTCCAGCATGACAATGACCCAAAACACACGGCCAAGGCAACAAAGGAGTGACTCAAGAAGAAGCACATTAAGGTCCTGGAGTGGCATAGCCAGTCTCCAGACCTTAATCCCATAGAAAATCTGTGGAGGGAGCTGAAGGTTCGAGTTGCCAAACATCAGCCTCGAAACCTTAATGACTTGGAGAATATCTGCAAAGAGGAGTGGAACAAAATCCCTCCTGAGATGTGTGCAAACCTGGTGGCCAACTACAAGAAACGTCTGACCTCTGCGATTGCCAACAAGGGTTTTGCCACCAAGTACTAAATCATGTTTTGCAGAGGGGTCAAATACTTATTTCCCTCATTAAAATGCAAATCAATTTATAAAATTTTTGACATGCGTTTTTCTGGATTTTGTTGTTGTTATTCTGTCTCTCACTGTTCAAATAAACCTACCATTAAAATTATAGGCTGATCATGTCTTTGTCAGTGGGCAAACGTACAAAACCAGCAGGGGATCAAATACTTTTTTCCCTCACTGTACCAGTCCTGACAACTGTCACTAGACACTGTTTGGTAAACAAACAGTTAATTTAGCAAAGTTATAATGAGATGTTAAATTTATTAGTCCAGTACTTCAATTTGGGTGTTGGGATTATTATGTTACAATGCAATGAATTTTTTTTAAATAATTAAATTACATTGTATATTTTGTCATGTTTTTTTTGCTTTCTCCTTACGCTTTCCTCTAGTGACCTACAGAGAGACAAGTATGGGAGTAAAACTTAACTTTGCCTATCAAATGTAAATTTATTTCAGCATGCTTATTAAAAACAACAACTCCCTGGTACATCAATGGTCATTGGCATTTACTCAGTGGGCAAGTGGTTCACAAACTATACCAACCAAATTCTATTCCACCATTAGGAAAATACCACTCTCCGATATTGCATTCCTTTGGGTTCCAACAGCTATCAAAGACATCTGAGAAAGGATGGTTTTGTTATACCTCAGATACTCTTCTTCTTTCTCTTAGATGTGTATAAGTAGTTTGTGATCTGCAGACATCAACTGTAGCTTTGTTACTGGGGTGGCAAATAATATTTCCTAAGTGAATTGAGAGAAGAGAGGCTTCCTACGTGAATGCCTTTCCCTGTGGCACTCAGCAGTCTCAGTGTCCAGTTACATTCCTCTCACATCTCTCCCCTATTCTCCAGACATCACCTGTGTGGGGGAAAATTGTTCTCCTAGTGAGGCATAAACAAAATGTACGAACGTCATGGTAGCAGCTGTATTCTTTTGTTGTTGTTTTTGTTCTCTTTCACTCTCTCCTTTCTTGTCATTTCTCTCCTCTCATCTCCTTTAAACTCTGTGATGTCTGTTTTACATGTTGGTGTGTCTGCAACACAGGAGGTTGGTGGCACCTTAATTGGGCAGGACGGGCTCATGGTAATGGCTGGAGCGGAATAGGTGGAATGGTATCAAATACATCAAACACATGGTTTGATGCCATTCCATTTACTCTGTTCCAGCCATTATTATGTGCTGTCCTCCCCTCAGCAGCCTCCACTGGTCTGCAAAAATAGTCTGTCCCCTTATCTGAACAACAGCATGTCAACATAAAATACCCATTCCTCTTAATCTCTCTCTTCTATCTGTGGCAGGAATTTATCTTTTTTTTTTCTCAATTTCTTGCTGTGCCAAAGCTGTGTTAGCCACGGCAGATACACAACCTCTCTCTCCAATCACACCCCACTAATATTTATTCTATCGCCTCCTGATTTCCATGACCCTGTGCATACAGAAATTCCTAACATGACTGCATCTGACCTTCCCAGCTGTTTGTTTATCTTGGGCTGATCTTGTAAAATACTGGGAACTGTCATTTTGACTGATGTGAACCGCAGGGCTGCCGGCTAACTCTGACCTTAACTTTCGAGCCATGGGCAGAGACTTGCCAGAGAGAAAATACAAAAAACACAACACAGACACCACTCAATTAAACAAATACAACCAAAACAAATTTAAATTAAAAAAATATATATAACAATTGGTGGCATTTAATCTTTAAAAAAAGCTTTGATTGCTTTTTAATTTAATTTGCTGAACCCTTGCTCTAACTAAGTTGCTATGTTTTAATTTTTTTTCCTTTCAGTGATTCTTCATCATGTTACAATAAATCATTTTACTTTCTTTTGTACATCAGCTACTCTTAGGCCAGATAGCCTGAACAGACAAACATGATGTGAGTTGTCCAAAGTGAGTCTCCACCTGCTGTCTGTCGTGATGTCGGATGGTGCTTGTTGGCCCTGAAGTGAGAAAGATGGCTGTCCGTGTTGACCATGACTCTCCTTTCTGTATATACATTCATATTTTCCCATTATTTTCCCCTGTCACCTCCAACAATGAGTTGCTAGACAACTTCTTGTCTATGTCGTAGCTTGCCCATTTGTGGCTACATACCAGGGCCCGGTTTCCTGATAGTGATGGAACTTAGGCTTACGAGTGTTTTAATGATGCATCTTTCCAACAACGGCCAAAAATGTAACATGCATTTCCCAAAACACCACGCAGAGAGAATTTTTGCTAAGTGCGTCGTTGAGGCATTTGTCGAAACTGAAAGAAAGGAAGCACTGCTCTCGGATCAGCGTTCTCCCACTCCTCTCGGATCTTACCGTAACATTAGAATTATTCCACAATACTGATGACGGATCAGTTCCTAGAGAGATATTACCACCTATGACTACAAATATTGAGGCATCTTATTCTAATGCTTACCCTATAAAAATGCACTAAATCAAGATGTTGCACATCATTGCGCACGATACACATGATGAAATATATTGAGGCAAAAATTACAGACAGTAGCGTACAAATAGCTCAATAAAACGCAATTGAATTAACATTACATGTATTTAAATATCATTCAAATATATAGATCTATATATGTAGCCTATGCAGGATTTATCTTTTAATACAGGTATTTCGGTTTTAATTTGAAGCGTCTTTATATCCTTCGCTTGTTATGCAAAGAAATTGGAAACTTTGTATTTGTCGTCACTGTCACATTTGTTCTGAAGCGTTCAGCAGTCACAGAAAGACAGATAAACATCTTGATTTTGTGTTTGGCGGAGATCTTCTGTGTATAAAGTGACGCGGAAGGGAAAAAAAGCATCTAACGATGTACTTAGCTGTTCTACAAGTGTTCTGAGGCAGCCGTTAAATAACAAACGTTTTCAAGATCATCTTTAGTAACGATGGTTTTGGGAAACAGCTCAGAGATTTAACTATGCTCCAACGAAGGATCTAATGATGAACGTAGCCTTTGATGCTTTTGGGAAACCGGGCCCTGTACATTTACCTCTGACATGTGTGTTGTGATGTTCATGATTCGTTCACGTTTTTTAATGTTGTTTGGGATCACGTATGTACCTTTGTCACTGGTGCGTCAAAGGCAGAATATTTTAGTGAATTGGAAAGGCTTTTAGAGAAAGTAACAGTTCATGATATACAAAAAATGTCAAAATTACCCCATAACTGAGAACGTAAATTGATTGCTCATTGTGTATATGCATGCATACACATTTTCCTTAAAGATTGTGCCTAATTAGTAGCATGTTACAGCTGATTCTCAGTCTTGTGTCAAATTATCTCCAGCGTCCTGAACAGCATTAAACCACTTTTCTCATTTTTTTCTTATTTCTCTCGGAACAATGGTTGTGACTAATGTAAATCCCCTCGTATGTTTTCTCATTCCAGGACACACACACACACTGAACCATCCCAGGGACACCAGTGCAATGGATACTCTACCGCTAAATGGTAACTTTAACAATAGCTACTCGCTTCGCAATGGGGACTACGGCGACAGCGTGCAGGTGGTGGACTGTGGACTCAGCCTGGACGACGCAGCCTTTGAAAAAATGATAATATCGGAGCTGGTGCACAACAACCTACGGGCTTGCAACAAGAGCCACAACCACCACGTGGAGAGTGGGGCTCCTCTTCCTCCATTGTCCAAGAAGGTGCACATGGTGGGCGGGAGCAGCAGGGAAGATGACGCCATCGTGGCTGACACCTCATCTTTGGTGCACAGCCACAATATCAACACACCGGTGGGCCTGGGCATAGAGCTGCACCACCGGGAGCTGGAGGCCCCACTCATTCCCCAGCGGACTCACTCACTTCTGTACCAGCCGCAGAAGAGAGTGAAGACCACAGAGGGGGGCTTGGAGAGCTATGTCAGCCAGCTCACGACCGACGAGCACGAAGACAGCCTGCAGTCCCCAAACAGAGACTCTTTGTACACTAGTATGCCTACCCTAAGGGACTCTCCATACACCGAGAGCAGCCCCAATGCGGAGGAGCTGGAGGACCTCTCGAGCCCCTCTAAGAGGAGCGAGAACGAGGACGTTTACTACAAGAGCATGCCTAACTTAGGAGCAGGACACCAGCTCCAAGCGTACTACCAAATAAGTAGAGGAAACAGTGATGGTTACATTATCCCTATTACAAAAGAGGGCTGCATCCCTGAAGGAGATGTACGGGAAGGACAGATGCAGTTAGTGACAAGCCTTTAAAATATATTTAAATCATCGTCCCCTGTCTGCATTCCCGACCTCCTCGAGGACAAACAGTACTGTACTCTGAGACATACACACACACTCGCTCATCTCCCCCCAGACTTGCCACACCCCATTCTCCTCACAAACCAACAGACTTAAGGGCACTGCGATGGCAGTGCAACATTACCCCGACCGCTGGAGTGGAGTTTTAAACAGACTGTATATAAAATGCAGAGTTCAATTTAAGACACATACCAATTCTGTATTTAATTATTCTGCTGCTGTTGAATAAAAAAAAAAAGATATAAAAAACGATTTAAAAAATGTTATCGGCCACTCCAGTTCAGCTGTTTTTTTCCGGCCAAAGGTTGTACATACACTCCCACCATCCTTGTCAAGCCTGTTTCGTATTATATACAAAATGAAGCTCTCAGACCAGGATTTATTTGTTTGGTGGTGTTCCTGATCAGACTATTAATTAGGAATATAAGGTCCTGGATCCTAGAGTTGTCCCCATCACCGTGAAGGTTGGATTAACCACTAGCAATCAAGCCCCAGGCCTTATATTTTCTCAATTGAGCTGTTGTCAAGGGAAATGGCTAAATGAATATATATTTTGTTGTATTGCTAGTGTAAAATAAAATTCATGGAAACCGTAAATATAAAGAAACCTTTTAATTGAAAATGTAACATTTGAAGATAATATTGGGTAAAGGTTGCACATATGTTATAAAATGTATTTATTGTTCTTACACATCGTTCATTATAGGATGTTTGAACAAAAAAATCTGATGAAAACAAAATAAGTCTACAAAGACCAAGGTTAATGCATACCTACTTTTTCCACTTGTGAAGAGTGTTTTTGCATACTGAATTCATATACAGTATGTTGTCCATTGAAATTATATGATTTGATATAGCTAAAAGGTAGTTATTTTAGTAAAGTGGGAATACAACCTATGAATACCCTAAGAAAGTCATGCCATACAATTATTTTGTGTGAATCTGATTTAAATAATCAAATCGGATAAACAATCATGACATTGAAATGGGCCACTCAAGACTAACAGCCACTCGAGATAAAAAAAAATTACCATAACGTTTTGATTCATTATAAATGTATTTCTTCTGCCTGGGTATGGACATTTATTTATTGAAATATTTTCAAAAGATTATACATTGGAAAATGTGGTAATATTTTCCAGCACTGGTATACATAGTCCTTCTTTTTATGTAAACATGTTATTAAGGGGCCCATCAATAAAGACTAATGTAAAGTTCAACACTTGTTTAACAAATAAATAAATGTGAGATTTTTTGGTAAAATGCCAGTTGTTTTATTAATGTACCATTGGAGAAGTTATAGGTTTGATTATTTTGCTATGGACAAAATACACTTTTGACTCAAGTTATGAGTACATCCCAAGCACCTTGGAAGGTTATCAGTGATATATTTTCAGAGGGATTTCTTTGCTTTTGTTTTCTATCAAAGACATTGCCTATTAGTCAAGCTCATTTCACCTTATGTGTTGATAAGCCAAATCTTTCCATGTGATTAAATGATGAGAAACTCAGGTAGGAAAATTACATTTTAAATGTTCCTCTGTGTGGTTGTAACACTCCAATAAAAGTTCAATAATTACACCGGTTCATAACATTGTCCGCTTAGTATATTATTGAGCACTTCTCCAGACACCATTACAATCTAAGTGATACAATTATGTAACTCATCAGCTGGCTTTTTAATATGTAAGTGGAAATGAGTCCATGATGCTTTACAAGGGTCGCTGTTACAGTTGGAGGCGGTTTGGAGAAATATATCACAGTAAATATGTCTTATTTATGACACATATTTGCACCAATTAATGTCCACTCCCGCTGAGGAAAAAAATTTCCTTGGGTAATGCCTCAGGTACTGCTAATTTATGACACATTCTAATAGGGTAAATATGCTACCGGTTAGAGCAGGATGACAGCTCACTGCAGGGAATCTGGAAATTACATTGTTTATCATTTGCCATTGAAGGAAATGACTCAGGATCCTGCACCGCCAAGACATTCTCACTGTCTGAGAAAGTTCACATTAAAGGGATAGACTGCTTACAGGGTAAGGAAACCAATATGTAATTTGGGTGAACTATCCTTTTAAGTTGCATAGACTTTGTTGATGTTGCTTTTCTTATAATTGAGTGTGAGATATTGTTGCAATTATCAGAGGGACAATTTATTAACTACGAATTCTCAGGTTTCTCACGTTCTCGGTTTATCATCGGAAACAGCTGATGAATGCTGCCGTAGTGGTTCTCTGACAAACGGTTTTAGTGAATACTTTTAATTATCTGATTATTATATAATTATGTAATTTAATTTGATATCTAGTATTTTATATCCAGTTTTTATTATTTATTTTGGATCCAGTGACGTTGATAGCCACAGCGCTGGGACCACTAGATTTGTCCCTGGATCCTTTTAGTAGCCTATTGGCTGAATTCAGGGTGCCAGGCGGCTGGCGACCCCCCCAGCAATCGTGGATCTACGCGGCCTTCTCCCCAGCCGATTTCTGTGGCTCCTGTCGCTGATTGGAGATGCGGTAGCGGGGGGATCCGACCGGTGCTCATCATTGGATGCTCAATGGTAAGGAACATCTCCTTGCCAGGGATTAGAACCCTATGCTATCCGGGTGCAAAAGTAAAGGATATCACTACGCTACTTCCTGTTGGCCAGCTCTGAACTGCTTAAACGTGACTTCATGGAACTAATTGCAAAACTGAAATACCTAAACAAGCGTCCCATTATATCGGGTCCCATACCCACGATGAGACGTGGATACGGTAGATTCAGCAGGTTGCTATCACTTCAGGTCTGGCTAAAGAGTTATTGTAACTCTGTCAATGTTGTCTTTATTGATAACTTTTACACTTTTTGGAAAGAGAAAATATTCTACAAAGAAGACGGAATTCACCCAAACTATCTTGGGGCTTATACATTGCATGGCCATTTTAAGGCTGCTCTGAGAAACTGACTGGGATATAACCCGCAATCTACCCAGGTTATCCCAACCATTATCACATATCAAACTGTTTCTGATGTTAAATACTCTAGTCAAGTCAAGGAAATCTACATTATCCCTGTCTTAATTTAAATATGGACACCCCTGTCTCGCAAAGGGCTGGGTTTGTTACATTTAAATGTGCAAAGTATAATGGAAAAGATGGACTTTATCGATATCTGGATGCATGACACGAACACAGACATTCTTGTTATATCAGAGACTTGGTTAAATTATTCGATCATGGATAAGGACATTGACATTGCTAATTGCAACATTTTTAGATGTGATAGGCAGAGAAAAGGTAGAGGGGTGGCGATGTATGTGAAATCCACTTTTGTGGGGCCTACTGTAGCTCAATTGGTAGAGCATGGTGCTTGCAACGCCAGGGTTGTGGGTTTGATTCCCATGGGGGGCCAGTATGAAAAATGTATGCACTCACTAACTGTAAGTCGCTCTGGATAAAAGCGTCTGCTAAATGACTAAAATGTAAATGTAGCATCATGTGCTCTTAATATCACTATACCCCAGAAATGTGAAATCCTGGTTTTAGATGTGACCATGAGCCAAAACGTGCATGTATTTGTTGCTGGAGTGTATAGGCTTCCTGCTGCGTTAGTTGATGTGACTAGTGTCATAACTGAGCATTTAAACCTTTTCTATCATCTGAACTGGTGGTCTTAGGTGACTTTAACCTGGACTGGTTGACACCTATCTCAGATAACTTTAAGAACATTTGTCTTGATCTTAATCTAACCCAGCTAATCACAAAACCCACTCGGTTAAATGTGAAAAATCTAGATAGATCCTCATTACTAGATTAAATTCTCACAAATAATCCTCATAAGTACATGTATTTTGGTGTGTTTGCAAGTGACCTTAGTGATCATTGTCCTATAGCCTGTATTAGAGATACTATACAGCATAATTCTGATCCCCGTATTATTAGGAAGATACATTTAAAAAACTTTTCTCCCCAAGTGTTTATGCATGACTTGTACTTTTCTGAACTTTCATCCATCAAGTGTATACCTGACCCTGAATTAGCTCTTGAGCATTTCTCATCTATTTTTATGTCACTGGCAAATAAACAAGCTCATTTTAAACGCTTCCCTACCCAAGCTAGTTATACTGAACTCTGAAATCATTATTGAAAAAAATGAGATAGGTCTTGCATTTAATCATAATGTTATGTCTGCCGGTTTTTTGTTTGAAAGAAATCTTGGTTTAATAGACCCGGGTCAGTCAGTAAACTGCTCGTCCCTCTCCCAGCCGCTAATCGACTTCATAGAGGACCAGACAACCCCCAGTGAATCATTGTACTCTCTGGAGCAACTGTCTACTTCTGATGTATTGGAACAACTACTACCTAGGTCTCAGTGTGTTTTTTTCCCCTGGTTAAATAAAAGTTTTAAAAATGCTAACTTTGCATTGTCATGGACAGTGAAGTTGAATTGTGCCTATTTGTTTTACACAAAATGAGAGTGTTGGGAAATGCCCCAGACCATAACATTATGTGTGGGTTGACACAGGTATTATTCAAATCTAGTATATTGCTCTCAGGTGATATTTGATTAGTAGTTCCTGACCGTAAACATTGGACTTGTTGAGATTAGCTTTCGTCCAATGTTAAAAGTCCACACTGGAATCTTGTGCTACTATTCAAAGTTTTATCAGAATAGATGCTTCATACAATACTTAATGAACTAAAAATATTTATAACACAGCTTGCCATAGAGAGCTTTTTCTCAGCTTTCATATTGCAGATACATTTTGGGTTCGATAAAATTAATTGTTTGCATAATTCTTAACCCCCCTTATTAATTTTTTCCCCCAACTCTACCATCCTTCTCTGATTAGAGTAAACTAACGGACAACAATACATCTTCTACTGCTACTTACAGCTATTTTCGCTCCTTACAGTGCATTCGGAAAGTATTCAGACCACTTCACCTTTTCCACATTT